TGGAGGTGTTAGTTATGTTGTGGTTTTTTGTTTTGTTTCTCACTCCTTCTGCGGGTGTGAATCTGCTTGGAAGAAAATAACAAGTTTTGTAAATGGAAAAAAAAAATACTAACAATAACAAATTTTTAGATTAAGTTTTACAATTTGTGGCTTTCAAACTTTGTTTTACAGATAAGATTCTCTCATTTTTTAACAGAATACGAACGCTCGCTCTTGGCCATTTTAAAATCTTGTCAATATCCAATAGAAACGGGTCCTCGCTCCAGAGAAAAACCCGCCCCCAGTGGCAAACAGAATGTGATTTGGTCAACTACATCTGAAAGAAACAAAACTGAAAAAGCTTAATTGGAAAAAAAAAAAGAACCATTTGAAAGTAAAAGATCCATCACAGGGAAACACAGAGAAAAAAACAGGACAACCATTTACAGCTGTCCCAGCATGCACTGCGGCGGCAGCAGCTTCCCGGTCAGTGCTCGCAGAGCTCAGAGTATTGTGTAAAATTTCTTTCTGTTGCCTTTCTTAAAACTATCATTTCAGGCGAGAACATTAATGGGTCATTTAAAAAGAAATTTCCAAAGTTGAGAGGACCGTGGCGACCAGCGGACCTCCGAGGGTAACGGCGTAATCCATGTGTAATCCTAGCCCGCCTGCAGCAGCCCTCTGTCTGCATAGCCGTGCGTGAAGCACCTTTGGCTCTGATGGCGATTTGTTTGTTTTATTTGACAAAATGTTCATTTGATTTGTGTTTAAGGAGAATTTGGAGAAGCCAATTAACCTAACAGTCCTGTTTTTGGACTGTGGGAAGGAGCCGGTAACCTGACTCCGCCAGATGGATTTGCTCCGCATATCCATCTGGAAACATTCCGTTGAAGTAATTTTGGGAAGGGGTGAAAATACTGGTTAGCTGATTGGCCTATGTTGGTGATAGACGGGCCAAATAAACCAATCAGATCAACGAAGCATATGACGTACTAACAGAGCGACGACGAAGAGGAGCCAATTGATAGATCAAACTCTTGCCGAAACCAGTCGGGAGAAGAGCAAAAACAACTTTTCCTCTGAGAAGCCTCCAGAGCAGTGTTTTGCTCTTCTTTCAGTGAAGAAATACTCTGTAATTCCCATAAAACTTGCTCGATAGCCACGCTAACGCTAGTTTCATCGGCTGAAGCCGCCATGTTCTTTAGACCGAACTGTCGCGCTTCTCGTTGCATCACACCTCAACCCGCCTCAAAGCCAACGCTGATTGGACGTTCGTTTGGTGAACGGCTCCAAATTTTCTTCAACGGAGAGTCTCCAGACTGATTAGCGAAGCTGGAGTACCCGGAGAGAACCCACTAATGCTCAGGGAGAACATGCAGAAAGATCCCGGGCCGGGAATTGAACCCAGAACCTTTTTGCTGCATTGATGTTTCGGGTGTGCTACCTGCTGCTCCACTGAGCAGCATTTTTAAATGAAATCTGAGGAAATAGAAAATGTTACTCTTAAATTCAATAAAGTTTAATTTCTGGATTGTTTTTACATTTTGTTTTCAACAATAATACGAAGAAAAACACTGTTTTTCAATCGTTTCTCTCTAATACTGCCTTATAAATTGATCTGTTTGGATTCTCATTTTCACTCAGATACTTCTGGGTGCTTTAAAAAAAATACTTATCTTAAAATCTTCTTTTTTTCCCCCTCTTTTAGGCTAAGACCAAAGGTTGCCAGTCACGGGTGGACATCGGCATCAAGTACGCAGACAAACAGCAGCGGATGTTTGATGAGGAGAAGATGAAGGCGGGACAGTGTGTCATCGGCTTACAGGTACCTGCTGCTTCGTCCTGCATGGCTTCATGGGAACAGCTCCCCTATTTACAGTTGCTCTCTCCCATGACGGCATCCCATGCTGGAACACAATAGATGTTACACTCCGTCTTTAGGAAACTAAGGGTCAATCTAATGAAGCTAGATCTGTATTTTTGGTTAATTTCTGTGGAACAGGAGCTGCAGGGTCGTCTTTTTTTAGCTGACTGGTTTCATAAAGGCCATGTTACAGTAGCTGAGTTACATATTGTTCTGTTTTTGTTTTTGCTCCGTTGCTAAGGAAGACAAGAGTGCTACTTGCAGAACTTGATATACAACTTTGTGTGTTGTCACACGGCGACACTATTCTTAAGTCTGACAGGCGGCCGTCTGAAGCGTTGAATCACACATTAGACGACTGCTGGCCTTGTGGCTCCAAGCTGCAGTAACGGATAATTAAAGTAAGATCTGCACGCTTTCATGATCTGTTTTCACTAAGCCATGTCTCCTGAATTTTTCTGTAAAGATGGGGACCAACAAGTGTGCCAGCCAGGCCGGTATGAACGCGTACGGCACCAGGAGGCATTTATATGACCCCAAAGTTCAAATCCAGCCCCCCATGGACAACACCACTATCAGCCTGCAAATGGGAACCAACAAGGGAGCCAGTCAGGTAGCGCATCGAAACTTTCAGCTCTGTGGAATCAGTGGGGGGGGGGGATCTAATCCAAATGAACCCGATTGTTTTTCCCTTCAGGCTGGGATGACGGCTCCTGGGACCAGGCGGGCCATTTACGACCAGAAACTGGGCACTGACAAGTGCGACAACAGCACCATGTCTCTACAGATGGGCTACAGCCAGGGAGCCAATCAGAGCGGGCAGAACTTCGGCCTGGGCCGGCAGATCTACGACTCCAAGTATTGCCCCAAAGCCGGAGAGGTTCCCAACGATCAGAACGGAGCCGGCAGCGGCCGCGACTACTACCCCGACAACGACGAGGGTTACCAGGGTTACCAGGAAGAGTCCCATCATCAGCTGTACCATGAGGATGGGACGGATTATTAAAAGCAGTGGGTAGAGATGGGAGAAAAAAGGCAGGTTAGAAAACCTGGAGGCAGGCAGATGGTTTATTTTTATACCCACAGGATGTTGGATGCCATCCTTTAGTATTTTACAAATCTGCATCTTTAGCCCTGAATAATAAACATATCATGATGAACTGTATTTCTGTTTTTTTTTTTTTTTTTAGAGCAATCCTTTCGATTTAAAACCAGCGGTTTGTTTCAGCTTGTTTTTTTATTATGGGAACTTTTTGTGCCAAAGTTACAGAAATGTTTTGTCCCAAATGCCTTTTTTAAAATTTTTTATTATTTGTTACATGAAGGGAGAAACCCCGAATAAAGTCCTATAATATGTAATATTTGTGTTTAGGGAGATCTGTCTTCGCTGTATCTTTAGAATATTGCATCATGTAAACATCCGTTCCTGTGAATAAGATTGTGCATTTCCTCTTTATACTGTCAGTATGTTTCCTCCTTCAGTATTGGTCGCTGATCTTAGTGAAGTTAGTTTTTCTGATGAGGGATGAATTATTGATCGATCTCACAGTGGAGAAATTTACTCGTTAGAGATACGAATAATTTGTTGGAACAAGCTTTTTATTTTTCTTCTCTTACAAACTTTTATCTTTTTAGTGAAGGAAATGGTTTCCTTGTTTGCATAACCAGTCCAACTGGGGATTTGTTTTCTTTGGACCAAAGGCAGGAACAGGAGTTAGAAACATTCCAAGCAAGAATACTGGATTAACTTTAGCTTTGTGTTCAGTGACTGAATATTTCATGAACAGTTGTTGACATGCGAACAAACCTACCATCATGTTTGATCATTTATGTTGCTATTTATGCCGAGTTAGAACAATGTTTTTTTTCTCTCTTTTTGACATTGGATTATGTTTTCCCCCTCTCCAATGATGTTGGGAAGCTAAACATGTGAAAGTGGTTTAATAAAATGTATTCATTACTGGTGTTCATCATTTTATTTAAAAAAAAAAATAAATGTCTGCCTTGCTGATGAGAAGCCAAACCAGCTTCCTTGACCAAAATCAATCTGGTTAGCCAAAACCCGTTTTTCTTTTTTTTTTTTCTCAGTTCAGTTTCCTCATAAGGTTGAAACTTATTAAAGATATAAGGATGTGAAAACATAACCCCTGGTTTATAAGTCTAATTTTGTTGTGACACTTCAATGTCTCAGATCATCCAATTTAAGATAAGTTGAGTACATGTTAAACCTCAGTATGCATAATATTTTATTAATGGAAAAATCCACCGGTCACCATGGAAACATGACCATGACCCCTGGTTTATTGGTAACCCTGAAAAAAGAGCTGATTATTATTGCCAGACTAGTTTGTTTGAAGTGGGCTTAAGCTGGGCTTACACTACGATTTATTTTTATTTATTTTTTTGCCCTTTTCGAGCCAAAAGTATACAGGAGGTAACGGGAGCGATCGGCCTCTCATGACCACCTGTAACTACACGATCCGTCCCGCGCATGCGCGAACAAATATACATACGGGTGTCCATACATAATGTAATTATGTTATTAAAACTACTTGTTTCTATCCTTAACTCACTAAATAATTGTGATACACATCTGTACAACATGTTTTATGACTTTTGTGAGACAATTTTTATACTTTTTACATTTTCTTCGTTAAACTGCTTCTCTGACGTCATCAGTCATGCTCAGAGCAGTCCGGCAAAATATGATTAAACATTTTAATCTGCATTTTAGGTGTTTCGTTCTCCAGATTATGCAATATATAGCATAATGTTAAAACGAAACGAACACATACAACTCAAAAAGACTAGATTTATGTTTAAAGGCGAAAGAGTTAGCTCCCGGAAGTAGCTTAAGATCCCATTTCCGGTGCAGACCGCGCAGAGACGACTGATAAAAGAAAGGATTTTAAGGTATTTATTTTCTATAGAAATACATTATTAACTTTTAACACATATTTTAGTATGTTCACTATTTTTGGGAAGGGAAAACGTCATTTAGGTATTTTTAACAAAATAAAATCGAGGACGACCGGGAAATATCTGTGGATGCGCATGCGCAAATGAGCTGATGGCGCATGCGCAAAACATGTTTGATTCTCGCACGACCGCGGGCAAATCGCGCAGTGCGCATGCGCAAACAAGGATTATTCTTCCGCTTCCTCTCGAGGCAACAGAATCAAAACAAACACGGAATCATGGCGGCGGTGCGAGTGAGATGGAGTAAGTCGACAGAGAAGCAGCTCGTGGAACTGTGGAAAGCTCACCCCTGCCTCTTTGATGTTGCCTCCCAAAGCTACTATGACCGAAAAAACAGGGAGAAAAGTTGGGAGGCGATCGCACACCAATTACAGCTACCAGGTACGTTTTTGTCTTGACTAGCAGCATGGTTCAGAAGGCATTGTTGTGATTGTGTGTTGGCGGGGGCCCGTGTGTGTAGAGAGAGAATTACTGGCAATATATGTGATGAAGTACACCTGTTTCTTTTGCAGTGAATGAGGTTAAAACCCGCGTGACGTCACTCCGGACGCAGTATGGAAAGCTGCTGAAAGCCAAGCCCAGGCGAGGAGGTGGCCGGAAACCATTGACTCCCAAGCAGAAGTGGATACTTAAACACGTGGATTTTTTAAAGGGTCATATCATCCACAGACATACAGAATCTACAATGAGCGTAAGTCTATAGAACCACAGTGTAAAGGGGATATTGGTGAGGAAATAATGGACAAAAGTCCGAACTAATGCACACACTAAAAATGTAAAAAGTGAAAAGCCTTGAAGTTCTTGATATGATATAAAGTCTCTCCTGACAACCTTAACCTAGTGATACTTAAGTGTGAAATTCTCTGAAGTAGCTCATCCAATTTCTTTCATTGTAATCACTTCTGACTGATTTCTTTGCTGTTTTTCACAGCCCACCACTGAGTCAGAGGAGGCATTTGAGGGCGAGGGGGATTCATCCACATCGGAAACTGAAGCTGAAGTGGAGGAAGAGGACAGTAGTTCGTCTTTGACATGTCAGCTTGTCCAGAAAAAAGAAGAAACAAAACAAAAGCCACAATCTGCTCAGCAATGCCTTGAAATGGCCGAACTATCACTGCTCCAACAGATACAGAAAACTCTCGTTTCCAATGCAGACTCCACGGAGCTATTTGGACAGCAAGTAGCCTCTGAGTTGAGAAACATCAGAGATAGAGCAATACAATTAAGGCTGAGGCGAAACATCATGAACATGATTTATGATGCACAGGAGGCCGAGCATATTGGTCAAAGCCAGTATGCAAGTCAACTGGCTAGTCCATCGTCGTGTTCCTCCCCAAGACAACCCGGTCCCATCTAGCCTGCCTATGTCATTCACTAGCATGATACATCATGAGTAGATGAAAACAAAGCTCTGAAGTTTGTCTCTTTGTGACCAAACTACCTCATTTTTTTTTTTTGTTTTGTTTTAAGATATATATGGCACTAAAAAAAGTCTGTTTTTCATAAAAATGTAGATTTGTTTTAATTTGTGTTGTGCCAACTTCTTTTTTTTTTTTTTTTTTTGCAGCGTTTGCACGTATTTTGAATAAATATTTTTGTATTAAAGGACTTAATCTTTTATTTTCCATTAAGGCATATTTATGGTTTTTAATATGTTTTTAGATGTAAGAACTTGTTAAATTATGCTTTATGGCTGTATTCAAATTTACGGGTTTGGCTTTTATTTAAGTGTAGATTCATTAAAGTGTAACCTCCAAAAATCAGCTTATGTTGCATTTATGCTGTAAATTGGGTCTAAAGCAGCGGTCCCCAACCACCGGGTCCGTCGGTCATTTGGTACCGGGCCGCACAGAAAAAAAAATATATATAATTTATCGACGATCAGAGTCTGAGTGATGTTTTATTTTGAAAAATATAAAAAAAAAAATGGGGTATTCTCTCCCAATTACATCAGTCGGTGCATCTGTGCCTCTTGACACAGGTTAATTCAGGTCAAGGCGCATCCTATTTCCTTCGTTTAGAGCGACCAAAACAAAGCTACGGAGCAGACTGGACATCAGGAGCACACTTCGTCTGTTATTGTATCAGATTACGCCTAGATGGGACCGGCTTGTTTTGGAAAACAAGCTCAGGGTTCCCACTAATTCAACATAATGATCAGTTTTATTTGATTTTATGCCAGTCGGATCATTTTATTTGATCATATTTACCCCCCACACTTTAAAGGCCGGTCCGTGAAAATATTATCTGACGTATAACCGGTCCGTGGCGCAAAAAAGGTTTGGGACCGCTGGTCTAAAGGATTCTATAGGTAGGGCGATTAAACCGTTCAGCCCTTAAACAGTGAGTCTGCATCAGGCTCACTGGGGCTTTGTCTGCACATCAGCCTTAAATCCCTCAATCACTATGTAGGGGTTTAGACAGATGATCTCTACTTTTTGCTCCCGGTTGTTCACGTAACTCCGCCTTTGCACACGGCGCCTGAACCATCTTTGTTATTTGTCGCCGCTGTCGGGTAACGGTAGCCGTAGGCTACAGCTGGCCACTGTGACAACAGATCCTATAACGGCCGGCACTATTCAGACAGCACTTGGTATAGCGATTGCTGAAGCATTTCCTCCTTTGCTTAAAGGGGAACA